TTAAAAGTGATACTTTCGTGTGTTTTTGTTTTCTATCTGAACAAATTAAGATAAATAAAGAATTTTCTAATTTTCTTGAAAATGAATAATTCACCGATTTAAAAAAAAATCAGACCTTTCAAACAAGCTATTACTCGATACCCCTTGTTATTTTAAATTTTAAAGGGGATGATCCTGGGGGCAGAGGGTGAAAGCGGGTGAAGTAGTTTTTGGTTAAAAAGTTAAAAATCGTTTGACGTGTCCCGGCGTTTTTTCTTTTATTCAGATAAATCCGTTGGCCCACTTGAAGATTTGTACCAAAATATGCCTCTATAAACTAAACATGACGAAACTCTTTACTTCTAAAACAATTTATTTTCTCAAAAACATTTTAAGTCGTAAAAAATACATATTTGAAATCATTTAGACCTATACCTAATAGAACATCTGAACAAATAAACAATGTTCGAATAAATGCGCGAAGTTAACAATGCAACAATTGAAAGATTACCATTGGGTAACATCACCTTTATTTTTTATTACGGCTTTTTTGAGTTATGGCACGCTGCACAATCTTGCTGAAACACAAAACCTTGGCCGGATGTCAAACATTCTTCCATCACTGGTAAAAGCGATTCTTCTAAAATTGCCAAATATTTGTTTGTATCCATATTTCCATCAATAAAATGAAGTTTTCCTACTCCTTTTGATGACATACTGCCCTGGATCATAATGGATGCTGGAAATTTCACTTTTCTCTTAAGACAGTCAACATGGAATACTTCATTTTTTGCGAATAACTCTACTGCGACTGTCACCAACACAAACTTCGAATCGGGCCTCATCACACCATTGTATTGCACACCATTGTTGAGGTGTCCATTGTCTATGTTCTTTAGCCCATCTAAGCCGATTTTTCTTTTGCAGTGGAGTTAATAGTGGCTTTTCTTTGGCCTATAAACAAGTTGTGCAACTTTAGGGTTTTTACTTCACTTTTTTGTATAAGAAAACTTAGCTTGCAAGTGCTAAATCCCAGTTTGTGGGCCTCTCTATGAGTTGTGGACCTCGAGATGCTCCTTCCAACAGCGTCATTCTACAGAGCACTTAATTGTAAATAATTGGCACGCCTGTTTTTCACGATTATTCTTCTTAATGCTCTTCGGTCGGCATTTGTGATATTACTTTTTTTCACTTATCGTGGCTTAATATTAACTGAACCAGTTACGTTATATCTTCTAACAATATTTCTCACACTGTACCGCGATAAGTCTAACAAAGTTGCAATGTCTGAGTTTGATTTCCCAGAATTAAAAAAATTAATTATCAGTAACCGAATTTTCTCACTAATAACCTTTCCTCCACCCATTTTGAAAACCTTAACTACCCAAAACTATATTAAACGTATTCTGACAGCTGTGATTAATAAAAAGAATTGTCATGGCTTTTATTTTTCACAGCGACCTATGCGTTATAGACTTATTTTGCATTGAAATGAAAATAGGTTGATATGCTGTAATTGCAACATGTGTTATTTTTATGCTGTAAATTTGATTAGGGAATGATAAGGATGGTGTTTTCTGGTTTTCTGCTATACAGGGTGTAGGGTATTTCAGTTTATTGTTGCATAACTTTAAGATTCGATAGAACTTTTAAAATTAATGCATAAAGTCTATATAAACATAGGTCGAAAATTGCGTGGCTTCCGAAATACAGGGTGTTTAAATTTACTTTCTGAAATAGTTTTTTTTAAATATTTTGAACAATATTTGATGTATAACAGTGAAAATTGGTATACAAGGGTTTTTTGGTACGATAAAACGAACCATGGGCATAGTTTTACTGTAGCCGCTAGAGGGCGCTCTCTACTGTACCTGTAGTGTATTAAAATGACCGAAAACTTTTTCTTAGTGCAATTTTTTGCTTTTTGAATAAAAAAAATGATTCTTCGCACTTTTCAACATAAAAAAGCTCTCTTGTGAAAATTTTCGTTATAGTTATCCGTTTCTGAGATATTTCGATTTTTAAGGTTCGATGCATTTTCAATTTATTTATGATAAAATAACGTTAAAAAGTCAGTATCTCGATAATTTTCAGAAGTAGGCTGTGCGTGCAAATATTTTTGAAATTGAAAGCATAATAAGGTTAAACGTCAATTAGTTGACAGTTAGTTTTGTTGTCTGATGACACCTGAAACGTTTTTTTGCAATTGTGAATACACGATATTTAGTTTCTTTTACCTGTTTTTTTTGTAAGTTTTATAAAAATGCCATTTTTATTCTCTAATCAAGAGTTAGCGGATATTTATTTTGTGTATGGCTTTGTAAATGGAAACGCAGCAGAAGCAGCCAGAGAATACGCACGAAGATTTCCAAACAGACGACATCCAACTCGCTCAGTATTTGTAAGAGTGCATCGCCAAATAATTGAAAATGGTTTTGGAAATCTCCAAAGGGATCAAAGCATAAATGTTCGTCAGCGCAGATTTACCCGTATGATTCTGCGTGAGTTTGATAGAGATCCGACCACAAGTGTTAGGAGAGTTTCTGGTGCTTTGGGAATTTCAGCAAGCCAATGTTCATCGTGTTCTTAGAAATGACCATAGACTTCCTTGCCATTTGCAACCTGTGCAAGGACTACAGCCAGAGGACGGAGAACGAAGAATGACATTTTGTCAGTGGATTCTTGATAGAACTGATAATAATAGGGAGTTTTTAAGTAACGTTTTATGGACCGATGAGTCATGCTTCACTAGACGTGGAGTGGTAAATTTTCATAATCAACATATTTGGTCGCATGAAAATCCGCATGCAGTTCGGGAAAGAAATGTTCAGCACGAATTCAGTGTGAACGTGTGGATTGGTACCTACCGTAATCGACTATTTGGACACTACCTTTTGCCTGCAAGGTTAAATGCTGCGACCTTCTTGGAATTTTTAAAGGCTGAACAATCAAATATGTGGGATGATGTTATGTTAGATTTAAGAAGATTGGCCTGGTTCCAGCTTGATGGTTGTCCAGCTCATTATTCGAGAATAGTTAGAAACTGGCTGTGCGAAGATTATCCAGAAAGATGGATCGGCCGTGGAGGACCAGTCGCCTGGCCTCCACGATCCCCTGACCTAAATCCATTAGATTTCTTTGTGTGGGGATTTCTAAAAGAAAAAGTGTACCAGACTCCCGTAACCACAAGAGATATGCTAATAGACAGAATCAGGAATGCATGTGATGAAATAAGACCTTATTTGAATAATGCTATACCACGTTCGATCATTCGTAGATGTGAATTGTGTATTGAACAATTGGGTTTACATTTCGAGCAACTACTTTAGATTTTGTATGTTTGTCCTAACTATCCAATAGCATTTTAGTTGTAAATAATTGATTTGATTTGTTAAAAATAATATTGAAAAATTAAACAAATTAATATTGTTTTTTTTGTGTTTATTTGGAGTTAGGAATTATTGCTGTGTTTAAAAACACAATCTAAACGATCATCTTAATTACTTGTAATGCCCAAATCGAAAATGTAAAAAAAATATTATTTTCCCATAAATAAATAATTAAAAATGCATCGAACCTTAAAAATTGAAATATCTCAAAAACGGCTAACTATAACGAAAATTCACAACAGAGATTTTTATGTTGAAAAGTGCGAAGAATCAGTTTTTTCATTCAAAAAGCAAAAAATTGGACTAAGAAAAAGTTTTCGGTCATTTTAATACACTACAGGTACAGTAGAGAGCGCCCTCTAGCGGCTATAGTAAAACTATGCCCATGGTTCGTTTTATCGTACCAAAAAACCCTTGTATACCAATTTTCACTGTTATACATCAAATATTGTTCAAAATATTTAAAAAAAACTATTTTAGAAAGTAAATTTAAACACCCTGTATTTCGGAAGCCATGCATTTTTCGACCCATGTTTATATAGACTTTATGCATTAATTTTAAAAGTTCTCTCGAATCTTAAAGTTATGCAACAAAAAACTGAAACACCCTGTATATTATCAAAATATTCATTGTTAATATTTTAAACCTATAACACCCTGCTACATTTTTATTATTTGTGTTTGATAAGAAAAAAACTAAGATTTCAATAGTTGGGCCAACTGAAGTGGGAAGGGGCTCGTACTTCTTTTGGATCATTCTTATCAGTTCCTTAAAACGCTTTCAAACTTGGTTGTTGTTCTGATGAGTAACTACAAAAGATTATCATTACGTGAGCTGTTTAGAACTTGATGAAGGACTTGAAAGAACTTTCTGCATTCGCAATTTTTAGTTTACCAATAACCTGACAGACAGTGGTCAGTAGGTCAAATAGTAAAAATATTAAGGTGGCAAGTTGCATACTAGGTTAAGACATTCACCTTAGGCAGAGAAATTCTTCTACTTGTTCAACTGTCTGTCTAACATCCAGTCAAGTTTCAGATGTATCTGGTGCAACAAAAGCATAGAGGTTGAGATTCAGCAAGTTGATTTTTGCAAGGTGTTGCGACCGAAAATGACTAGACCGTTATCTCTCTCGCTTCATCACATCACACCCGGTGTTCTTTCGCAGGTTTGTTCCGATTACCGGTGAAGCCATGGAGAAAGATGACCAAATAAGAAAATACTTCAGCATTGACGATAACCCTGTTACTCTATCACCTCAGAAGGAAACAAAAGCGAAAATTACTTTCAAACCGACTCAGCAAGTGGAGTTTGTCAATCTTCCAATCTTTATATGTAACGTGGTAGATGCTGCAAAGCCCGATGTTGTGATCAACTCTTTTCAACTATCATTCAGTGCCAAAGTCTTCTTGTCTAGGTAAAACAACAATAATTTTAGGTTCTACATTCTATTTTACATTACAGAGCAATATTTTTTGTTTTGCAATATTGCAGGTTTGAAATATGTCCAGCAAAAGATATGTACTTTGGAGATCTGCCAATATCAACAACAAGAACGCAAACGATAGAATTGAAAAATGTTGGGAAATTTCCCTTTAATTATACGATTATTAGCCACAAGATGTGGCTGGGTCAGCTGGCCAAAAAAAGCAGAAGTAGTAAGTCCTTCTAACTTCGATCTTCATTTGATTTGGGCTTTCATTTATCTGGCTTCTAATTGCTCTTTTTGCGCCAAATCTGTTCAGCCGTTTTGAGATAATAGCCCGAGATTGTGCACAAGTCTGGTATTTATTCAGCCGCTATTTTAATCGACAAACAGTGCACCTTTACAGGTTTTATTAATTTTGAATGTTGATCAAAATCTAGTGTAGCTAGCAGCCCAAACCTGAATTTTCGTGCTGTTGAATATATTATTACAACGTAAAAATACAATGCTATAATATAGTATTATAGACACAGCGTGGTCCAACGAAAAGGTCGCAACCCCATTTGTGATCTCCTGGTATATTTTGGGAAAAACGCTCGGACACGTCAATTTTGATTTATAGGCGGGCGTCTTTTCATCTATAGCCGTACAATACTGGGTGATACAAAAATAAGATATTGCGTTGCACTTTAGATTTTTAAATAAAAATTTTGTTCGAATCTATTCCTCACGTCTTCAAGCATGAATTGAGTTATTTGTCGACATCTAGCCGTAATCCGCTGACGAAGATCTTGAATGGAATGTAGATTCGTACTAAAAACTTACTTTTCCAATGGCCCCAAAGAAAGTAATCTAAAGGACTTAGGTCCGGAGATCCTGGCGTCCACTCGATGGGCACTCGTCTGCCGATCCACTGATTTGGGAAATGGGTGTCCAAAAACTGTCGTACTGGAGCACATAGTGCTTGGAAAGAAATGTAATTTTCATAATAATTTGTCATTTTCTATTATTTCAGTAATTCGTGGCTCTATTGTCCAAGTACGTCTCGCCCGTCAAGTTTTCAGGAATAAAGAATGATTTCCGAAAATGCCGACCCACACATTTATTTTTTCAGGGTATTGCGAGTGAACCTCTCGAAAAAAATGTGGATTCGAGTCATTCCAGTATCGACAATTATGTCTATTCACAGCACCATGTAAATAGAACGTACACTCATCCGAGAAACAAATATCAAATAACAGATTTGCATTGCTGATTAAACGTTGGAACATTAATTCGCAAGACCCCAACTTTTTACCAAAATCGTCTTTATTAAGTTCATGGTCAAGTTTTATTTTGAATGGGTGAAATTTATTGTCTTTCAAAATTGTTTGTACTGTTGAGCTTGTAAATCCTGAAGAAGCAGCCAGTCCACGAGTGCTTTGGGTGTTGTCAAGGGCTACGTTTTCCAAAACTGCTATTTCTGCGGCTTTCTAACTGGCCGATTTTCTCGACCGCGATTACGGCGAATATTAGACACAGATCCAGTTTCTTCAAATTTTCTTATCATCTTAGCCACATACTTTTATGTGTTTGGCTGGATTTAACGCATGAAATGACCGAGCAGTACCTCTTGCAATGCTCCCATTTTGGTAGTACAGTTTTGTTATTTCTACCTTTTCTTGAATTGAATAAGTCATTGTACAATATTTATCACAACTAGGTAGGTAATTTAACAATTTGAAATGACAGACAAAGTTTTTCTTTGACATACGACGACACTGACTGTTGCTAAATTAATGTTCTTGTTGGTATACATTATTATTATTATTATTTTTCCATTCCATTATTAGTCTAATCATATTAGACGAAAATACCTCTGGTTCGCGAAATAATTGTAAAGTCTGGTTTTATTGCTGCGAGTTGTTCAAGGGATATTTAAAACATGGACACATAAAATGGGTACACCAATTCTGGTGGGAAAACTTTTTATTTGACAACAAAGAATGAGAAAACGTGTTTCTTGGGATTCAAACGAAACTCTTTTTATAAGATTTTTAGGTATTTATGAAATCTACAAGATAAGAATACGCATAAAAAGATCCGACTAATAGCAAAAAAGTTATGGCCGAAAACCGAGGCAAATTGCAGGTTTTGGCACTTTTTGGTAATGCGACGATGGCTTCTTGCGGATACTTGAAATTCTTTAAATTCGTAGGATTAGTACTTCTAAATAACCACAACGAAATTGGAGTAGATTGGTCAAGGAGTTTTTGAGCATTTCTAATTGTTTATTCCAAAGCACCTGTTTTCCGGCCATTACTACTAGTTTATTTAGCAATATACAGGTTTAGCTCAAAGGGAATTTTGCCTCGTTTTGTTTTTCGGCCATAACATTTTTGCTATTATTCGGATCTTTTTACGTGTGCTCTCATTTTGTAGGTCTCATAAATATCTAAAAGTCTTATATGGAAAGTTTTTTCGTTCCCGTCAACCCTTTCGATTGAATCCCAAAAAAACACGTTATCTCATTCTTTATTGTCGACTAAAAAGTTTTCCCACAAAAATTGATGTACACCATTGTCCATGCTTTAAATACCCCCTTGAAGAACGTGCACCAATAAAACCAGACTTTCCTATTACTTGGGGGACATTTGCTTATATGAGCCGTTGAAAGCCAGGATGGTCCAAGTCCAAATTTTCAGATATCGAGGTTCTATGTGTATACTGTTCTGGATGGATCAATCTTTGTCTGAGAGAGTCTGTTTTTATATGTCAATGGAAAGCTGTAACCGTTATGAGGCAGAATGGGACAAGTGTGACTTAATCCATTGTGGTTTTCGATAGTAGTGTCAAGTGGGCAAAAAATAGCATCAAGTACGTGCCAGAAGACTGGTATACAACAATAAGAACATGTAGACCCAGGAAACCCTTTTACGTCTGTGCGATGGAACGGTCTGATTTTTTCTCATCAACAACATTAGAGAAAACAGTAACAAGACGAAAGAAAAATGGTACTAATGCCACTGTATCATGGCTTCAGATCCAGTGGCTACACTTTGAGAAAAAAGAACCTTACACAATTTTTTATAAAGAAACTGAATGAAAAATTTCCATATGATTTTATAAATTTACTACCAAATAGAAAAGGCGCACCCAAAAACTTCAAAAATATAAACCTACCTCCTTTGTATGAATTCCCTCTTCCTGTCAACGACAAAAAGAAGAAAAACATAGAAGAGCTTCTCCAATTCATACCACCAGTTCATCACAGTTTTTTTAAGAATCTGAAGACAGATGCAACTTTGCCAGATACCGGACCACTGCTTGTTACTAAAGAGGAAGAAGGAGAAGGCGAACAGACTCGAGAATTTCCAGAAATTCCAGAAGGTCGTGTCAGTACAGTACAGTTTTTGTGTAGAAAATATACATTATTTTTTTACTGTATGGAGATTGATTTCTGTCGTTTTGTAAAAAAAATATCAATTCACATAATATTGTGTAACTCTACTTTAATACTCTACTTTACTATAATCTTTATACAAGTATGAAACCAAAGGTAAGAACCGTTTTAAGGCAGAGTGGGCTAAAGCCTAAACATATGAAAAAAAACACATGAACACAAAATGTTCATGTATTTTATGATAAGATACTTAAATTGATTCTACCTTTAAGGGTATTTTGATTTCTTACTGCAGTTTTATTATTCTACATTTATCAGCCGCATCTAAACTTTAAAACCGTAAATCTCGGAAACGTCTTTTTGTGACTTGGACCATCCTGGCTTTCAATGGCTCATATGATTAGACTATATTATCAGTATTAAGTTAGTTGAATTTTGTGATAAGCTCAGATAGCTTCACAACGATTGATGATAGGTATATACTTTATTATACAAAAGTTACTAAAAACTTCATCAAAAATCTAAAAATTAAAAACATTGAGGTTTCCATTTAAAAATCTAAAGTGTAACGCAATATCTAATTTTTGGATCACCTTGTATTATATAGCTATAGAAATCAAAATTGACGTGTCCGAGCATTTTCACAGAATATACCAGGAGAGTCACAAATGGAGGTGCGATCTTTTTATTGGGCCACCTTGTATACGTGGCGTGCCAATTAAATTCCGGGAATTTGTCAATAAAAAATCAAATTTCACGTTAAATTTTATTATCGACCTTCACAATACTCTCCATTTAACTCTACACAACGCTTCCGTCGCTGCTCCCACGATTCAAAACAAGCTTGGTAATCCTTTGGAGTTAGATCTTTCACCACCTGCGTTACAGCTGCTTTCACCTCATATATGCCACCATGATGAGTTGCTTTGAGGTGTGTCTTTATCTTAGGGAATAAGAAAACGTCACAGGGGGCAATATCGGGGCTATGAAGTGGGTGCGGCATCGTTGGGATGCTCTCGATTTTCGCATTTGTTTTTGTTCGTGGGTGACAACTTTTGGAACCATCTTTGCGCAAACCTTTCGCATGTTCAAATTCTCATGTAACATTTGGCATTTCTTTGTTCATGTTTAGCTCGTCAGACAATGCACGAATGCTTAGGCGCCGGTCAGATGTCATCAGAGCGCGCAAACGGTTGACATTTGCGTCGGTTCGAGAGGTTACGGTAGCCCCTTCACGTGGATCATCTTCTACTGATTCACGCCCCTCTTTGAACCGTTGGCCCATTCAAACACGCGTGTTTTCGACATACGCTTGTCTTCATACACCAGCTGCAATTTTCGGAAGATTTCCGAGGGTTTTTCATCTGATTTCACTAATAATTGGATCACAACACGTTGCTTGTAATGAGAGTCACGCATTTTCTCCTTCAAAAAACACCCACAAAATTCAAACCACACGTCAGTTTTCGACTGTAACTTAAAAAGAGGGCGCTTATGCCGGGCAGAAGTTGACAGGTGACGCAGTGTTGCCAGACCTCAAGTTATTACTGCATTCCCGAAATTTAATTGGCACACCACGTATAGGGTATTACCATTGATGAACATATCAATCATTCAGTATTTTTTTAAAGAAATGAGTGTTCGAATTATTTGTTTATAGAAATACAGCTAGATGGTAAAAAGGGCAAAAGTAAGAAGGGTAAAGGTATTGGAAGTAGCAAAAGTAGCAATGGAAGCAAGAATAGCAAAAGCGGTAGTAATAAAATTGATAAAACAAAAAAGCCAGAAAAAAGTAGTCAAGTGGATAAGGATAGAGGAAGCAAAGGCAAAGGTAGCAAAGAAAGTAAGAAGGATAAAGGAAAGTGAGTATTATGTTGTCAATGAAGTTTCGCTTCAAAACGCTAGCTAGAAATTTCGATAAATAGTAGACCTCACCCCTACTGAGCGAGGGCCGTGGCAAATGCTTGTTCCGGAAGTTGTTGTAAGGAATACCTCAGTACCGATTGCCGGGTGGCGGTACAAGTCCGCCAACGGGCCACTTTAGGTCTATTTAACATCACTAACACGTAAAAAGAAGGTGGTAGACAAGGACCAGTCGACCGAGGCAGTACCACCCGCTAGCTTTTCCCAGGGTATCTTATAAATGTCCGCATGTTTCCACACCTAAGCTATGCACTCGGTTATCTACCAAAACAAAGAAATTAATGATGATGGATCCCTCGAGCACTAAAAACTCCGGACGTAAACTCACTCCACTCTCGGAATGTCCGGGTGGAGGGTGGGCTCGAGGGAACAACATCGAAGATAAAATTTGTTTTTCGAACATCTGCGGGATGAACAGCAACATTGATGCTGTTCATCACTACCGGAAGTTGTTGTATCCAGTATACAACTTCTTCCCGTCCAAGTGATTGTGCACGCGTTAAGGAATACCTCAGTACCGATTGCCGGGTGGCGGTACAAGTCCGCCAACGGGCCACTTTAGGTCTATTCAACATCACTAACACGTAAAAAGAAGGTGGTAGACAAGGACCAGTCGACCGAGGCAGTACCACCCGCTAGCTTTTCCCAGGGTGTCTTATAAATGTCCGCATGTTTCCACACCTAAGCTATGCAGTCGGTTATCTACCAAAACAAAGAAACTAATGATGATGGATCCCTCGAGCACTAAAAACTCCGGACGTAAACTCACTCCACTCTCGGAATGTCCGGGTGGAGGGTGGGCTCGAGGGAACAACATCGAAGATAAAATTTGTTTTTCGAACATCTGCGGGATCAACAGCAACATTGATGCTGTTCATCACTACCTGCAATCCAATCGTCCCGCCGTGCTTTTCTTGGCGGAGACAAAAATCTCAGAGACTGCACCGATTAACCATCTCAACTTCCCAAACTACGAGGTGCACTCCAATCTGCGAAAGAACGGGGGAGTTGTGGCTTTTGTCCGCAGCAGTCTTTCCTGCTCCAGGGATCTTTGTTTGGAATCAGACCGGAAGGACATTCTGTGGCTTCGCCTCAACTCCAAAACAGCACCCAAATTTATTTGCTGCCTTTATCGCTCTCCCTCGAACCATAACTGGGATGACCTACTCGAATACCTCGCCGTCCAGATCGACTACCTGAACATCAATCACCCCGCTTCAGAGGTAGTTCTTCTCGGTGATTTCAATGCCCATAATGAGCTTTGGTTGGGCTCAAATAAGACCGATGCAGCAGGTCGTGCAGTCGAAGGGTTCGCTCTTACTCAAGGGCTGACCCAGCTGGTGACGAGCCCTACTTTTTTCCCCCGGGTCTCGTCACACTCCAGTAGCCTGCTGGATCTCTTTCTGACCACGCATCCTGCCCCTTACAGCACTGCTGTCCTGTCCCCCCTGGGTAACTCAGATCACGGTGTTGTGGAGGTTAGGTTTCGGTCAGAAGCCGCTGTGGCAGCAGAAACTCACACAGGCCGCAAAACTTGGCATTACGGACATGCCGACTGGGAGGGGCTCAGAGACTTCTTCTCTAGCTTTCCTTGGAGAGATGTCTGTTTCACTGACGCGGATGCGTCGACTGTCTGTTCTTCAATAACCGAAATTATCCACGTCGGAATGGAGGAATATATCCCTCACACAGTGAAAGTTCCTAAACCAGGGTCCAACGGCTGGTTCAACAAATCGTGTGACACTGCTCGCCAGCAGAAGATCAAGGCACACAGAACCTACTTACAAAACCCCAATGTAGAGAACAGACAAGCCGACATCGAGTCCAGAAACAAATATAACGAAGCGGTCCGCAATGCCAAAACCCAGCATGATATAAAAGTTAGGCACAGGGTAATGTCGCAGCGCAATGGCAGTCGGTCTTTCTGGACGCTGGCCAAGCAGAT